AAGCTTACTGCAGTATGTGGCTGATTTGCGTCCCTCTTTCTCCTTTTTTTCCCTAGACTCAGGTCCCCCAGGCCACTACAAAAGGCTGCAGCAAGACCATTAGTTTATGTCAGCTACTTAGCGTTTAGACATCATAGTTATTGATTTTATTTCATTGCCACTATGCTTCCAATTATTTTTATTTTTGAGGATGATACATTTCCTTTTGTGTTTACATATTTACACCTGTTAGATTGTTACTTTTTTGCAAAAATTTGGGCAGATATTAGCTCTCTATGCTCCTTATACTTCATAGGATTTCTATCTTTTTGCTTATACTGTAGCTCTCAAGGTCATTGAGTGGACCACAGGCAGTTTTTGTTTTATTACATTTATTCCAAGAATTTTATTGAAAAAATGTTACATACAAAACAGTAAAAAGGATTCACAAAACAATAATAAGACAACACAGAGTTGCCAATCGATAACCCCAGGACAAAGGAGAAATACACAGCATAAAAGAAGTGCATGACCAGTAAGAGTACTTATCTCTCCAGAGAGACTAGGCATGCCCGGCCAACTCGGGCTGGTGGCCAACCAAACACAATAAAATGGGCCGAAACCCAAAAGGCAGTGGGATGGGAATGGGAAAGAAAAAAAAGGGAAAAAGTGTGTGTGTGGGGGGGGGGGGGGGGAATACTGAGCTGCCCCAACCCCTCTCGATTCATGGCCATCTGCCCCCCGGCCATAGCCCCAGAGTAGGATGAACCGAGAATATGTCAGTGTACCCCAACCAAATAGTTAGAGGAGAAGTGCAATGTTCACCCTGGCTTGGCTCATCTAAATGCTCTATCCACTATGGGCAGTTTTACCTTTCTTCCTTAATCACTTCCAGACCGGACACTTTTACCCCCTTCCTGACCAGGGCAATTTTTTCAGCGCTATCACACTTTGAATGACAATTGCGCGGTCATGCAACACTGTACCCAAATGAATTTTTTTATCATTTTTTTGAGACAGATAAAGTTTTATTTTGGTGGTATTTATTCACCGCTGGAATTTTTATTTTTTTTGCTATGTAAATGAAAAAGTCCAAACATTTTGAAAAAAAGTGTTTATTTTTTAATGAAATTTTGCAAATAAATAATATTTCATCATAAATCTTGGCCCAAATGTATTCAGTTATCTTTTTAGTAAAAAAAAAAAAAAAATCCAAATTAGTTTATAACCAAACATTATAATTTTTAAACATTTTTTTTACATTTTTTATTTTATTTTTTATATTATTATTTTTTTTTTTTTTTTTACATACTGTCACCCTAGCAGTACAGTGTCACCATGGTGACACTGTACTACTTGTGGGGGGTGATGAAGAGTTTTTTTTTTTTTTTTTTTACACTGATTGCTTTTCTCTGTCTTCATTCTTGCACTCATTGAGAACTACTGTGTGAGCTGTGATTGGTCACAGCTTGTCACATGGTACAAGGCTGTTGTGCCTTGTACCATGTGACCTCTGTGATCATTCACAGATTTCACTTGTAGTAAGCAATGATGTCACAAGTGACATCTTGCTTACTACTTTGCATGTGATCACTGATTGGCCAATCAGTGATCACATGATCGGGACCTCGTACAGAGATCCCATCCGACGATCTGTGTCGGAAGTGCGCACAAGCAGGGTGCGGGGAGGCCGTTTATAAACAGTGCCACCGTCCGGCCGTTTATATGCAAAGGCCGGTCGGGAAGTGGTTAAAGGCTAAGTTCACTTTTTCAGGCAGAATTTTACTTTTCATAACAAACAGAAGTGTTTTCTAATGTCATTTCTGGCCAAGCCTTCCCAATGTGTGTATCTGTCACTTACCTCATCTATGGAAGCTTTACATTTTTATCTGCCTGTTCGATTTTTTAAAAAATGCTTTCTGATTCCAGATTTTCTGTAGATCATGTGACATCCAGGAAGCTCTGAATCCCATCATGCACTTCCTTGCTCCATCACAGAACAGGGCGTGATAGGGCGTGTATTACCAGTATGGACCATACCTCCCTCATTACTATACCACCTCTTGTTTTATTTCCACCTACTTTCTGTACAATCTGATTGTACAATACGTAAGATCTCCCATCAGTGATGTAGTGCAAAGGTCTGTCTGATTTAATACAAATTGAATAGATTGTTCAGGCTGGTTCTCCTATTCCATAGTTCTGATAAATCTAAAGGGAATTGGACAGATTTTACAATAAGATTTCACAGCGTATGGCCATCTTTATACAAGTACATAGAAGGGAGTGGACAGAGACACTCAGTTGTCAAGCCCCGTTCTCATCTCCACGAAGCAGAAACTCACATTCAACACTCATTCTTTTTTTTTTGGGGGGGGGGGGGGGGCGTTTTGGACCATTTCTGTTCATCATGCATAGATAGCCTATTCACTTGAATTTGCTGCCCTATGGGTGACAAACACCCCAAAGAAGCTTCAAAACTTTTTTAGAGTGGATCATTTTTTTCCGAGCTTCTTGGTGCGTTTGTCACACAGAAAATGCATTGCTGCTACCCATGCTTGGGGTGCCTTTAACATTTAATGACAATGCAATCATGATGCACATTTTCAGAGTGTTTCTGAAAACACATGGCAAAGCACTGTGTTTTGTGCGGTTTGCCATGCGTTCAGAAATGCACAGATATGACTGAAGCCTTATTGTTCTTGTGTAAATACACCAATTTCACTTTCAGGCCCTATTCACACTTAGCATAGTAGGAGTGCACGTTTTTTGGCATGTTTTTCCACAACACGCATAGGGTAGCCCATTGATTTGAATGGCCTGCCATACACATGGCAAAGTAGCTCATGGGACATTTTGGTGTTTTGCAGTTTGCACATTCTTTACTGTATGTTTTGCTGCATTTGTCGCTTGCTTCTTCACATGGCAAAATGTGCCTTTACTTCTGCGTTTGGGGTACCGTTACAAAATAATGGCAAAATAATGGTACTGTTACAAAATAATGGCACTGAAAGCACAACTAGTTAATTTTAGTGTTTAAAGGTGGTCACACACTGTAAAATCTGATTTTACAAGCTTTTATAATCTCCTTTACATTTACCAAAACTATATAATAGGAGGACATACCTATCTATCCAATCACTTTGTATCCAATCAGGCAGGCCCTTGCACTACATAGTTGATGATAGATCTAAAGCAGATTGTAAAATAAGATTGTACAGTGTATAGTGAGTTTTACAGACTTCCAGGGACACACTTCTCCTGTTTTCAATACTACTGCTCCACATTATTAGATCGCTCAGCTCCTGCACACTCTGGCAAATAAACAATCTATTCAAGATGAAGGTAAGGTAGAAAAAAAAAATCGATGGATGTGTATTTAGTGAGAAAGAGGATTGAAGATTGCATTGGAAAATGATGAATCTGCAGAGGTGGGAGCTATCTCCTGGAGGAGGGGGGGGAGGACGGTTGCCGGTTGTATTAATGAGGTCAACTGCTGAAGTGCTTCCTTCTACTGCCTTTCCCTTCCTAAGTACCAAATTCAGGATGGCTAGTGGAGGAGGTTTCAACAGGACACTGAAGCTGAGGTAATGCCTGGTCTAGGACATAAAGAAAGCTTTTTCTTTTCTGCAAAAGAGATGCATTATTGGTATATTGGTACATAGAGAAGCTGAAATTTAGGGGAAAAAAAGGTGAACTTAACCTTTCAGATTATCCCCACATCAAAGGAAATGAATACAGACAAAGGACAGATGTGAGTTAAACAATTTTTTAAAACATTTATTTCTGTCTTTGATCTATTTTAATACTTCTACTTGTACTTGAACTTTACATCACCAGGTAATAAATACGGCTTATGGATATGAAATGTGAAAGCAGCATAATGCAGCATTATTAAAGTGAGAATAGGTCACGTTAGTAGCTGCTATTATTAAAAACAATGTTTGGTTTCCACAAAATTGGGAAAAAAATTGAAAAAACAAAAATATAGTCTGCGTAGAGCTCCCACAAAGAGGAAGTCTATTGGAGTGGTTCCATTAGCGAAGCTTTCAGCTGAGTTCACCTGCAATTAGAAAAAGAAATAAGCACACATTGAAACTGATTATCGTCAAATTTATCAGCATAGTTCTACAAATTGTTGCCAGTATGCAAAGCAAAAATAACAAACAAACACAGTCACAATAGAAACTTCATATATGCACTGTGGAAATGTAAATGACATTATCTGAGCAAGAACCAATGGATTTTGATACACCTTAATTACATATTGAAAACTTAGCATAAGCCTTCGCCTGGGTTCACACTTGTGTGGTGCGGCATATCGCATGTGATTCGCACAAGAACTGCACAGAATTCCTGTGCAAATCACTTGCGAATTTTGAGCGGTGCATACATTTTGTATGGCTCAAATCGCACTGCATCCGCACCAAAAAGGTGCAAGGACCATTTTCTTGGTCCGCACTAGAATCAGATTGCATGGGTATTCACACTCATGCGATCCGATTGTGTACATCGCACCGCATTTTGTGGGCCAATTTCGGGGTGTTGTTAACTTAACATACACACCCGCAGCGGTTCGCATGACCAGAGTGTGATTGTGATGCGGTGTGGAAATCGCACAGAAAACGCTGTGAATTCTGCACTGTATCAGTGTGAACCCAGGCTTAAACATACTATGTACACTATGGAAAATAATGTTGTGCAATACCACATTTTTTTGTAAACGGCTCTCACATCATTGCTACTTTTGCCACCTGAACAATTTGGACACTGAGTACCTGGTAATAGGTGGACCTTTTTGATCTGGGCATTAGCAGTTCATCCCTTACACAAGGACATGTAAGGCTTCAGTTTGAGTTTTGTGACAGTCCACATTAATTCTTGCTCATGTATAAATCAGGTATGTTTTTTTATCAACATTAATCTATCACCATATATTAGTCCCTGTGACCCTTCATTATCCTAGACAGTTGCCAAATGCAAGACAAGTAAAGGCAACCATCTCTGTACTTACCAAATTCAGGGAGCTCCTTCCATGGGCCCAGGTCCAGTGCTGGGATGCTGGAACATGGAACAAAATCCACAGGGTACCGATTTCCAAAAAAGACATTTAGAGGGATCTCAGTGATGTTTGTATTGGAACAGATAATTTGGGACATAGTTGATTTCTCTATGGAACTTTTCTGAGCTTTGCTGAGAACTAAATCATTCTCATAATAAAACCTAGACAAAAGAAATTATTAATAAATTACCCTTTTGCACAAACTAGTATAAACTCTATCCAAAGCATAGTACAGTTATTTTGCATATAGGAGGTGGTGTCAACACATTAGTTTTGTAACACGCCAACAGATGGCAGAACAAGGCTGCACACACAGTCAAATGGAGCACCGTCCTCCATAAGTCAGTGTGCCAAAAGACATCGTCTTGTGGAGCCGTGCAACTGGTGCCATTCTGACCACGTGCATTACCATGTCTGCTATTTCATCATGGACAGCAAGTCTTTTTGATACCACCTTGTATGTAGTATACATGGAATTTATAATGAGCACTGTGACCATACTCATTTTGTGCTGGCTACAAATGTGTTCTTACATACTGATAATTGGATTCTTGTCCTATATAAATCTAATTATCCTGACCAGAAAAGGACCTGATTTCCATTTCCCAGATGCACTTTTTTTTTTCTCACAGCTGAGCTCACAAAGAAGGTAGGAATGAACAAACAAACTTAACCGAAAATTTTATTTGCACTTTATGGACTCTTAGAACACCCATTTTGACCCCCAAATCAAAGGTATCTGATTTGCCACTAAATATACTTTTGAGCTTGTCTCTTTATACAAAACAATTTTAAAAATAATTTTCTTGTTTAAATATGTAAACATTTCAGACATTATCGGAAGTTAAAATGAAGCTGGTAGATTGGGGAGCCATATTCTCAAGCATACAGATGATATCCTATCTGGTGATACCACATGACATGCCAAAGATTTATGCTGCTTTTTTGCCTGACAACGTAGGTGTTAGAACAGCATGCTGCACAGCAACGTATATTTTAACCTATGTGATATTGAATGTACTTATTTCGCACCTCCATTATATGTTGTAACTTTTGAATTTTAGCATTCATTACCTTTACTGGGATCAGATTGTGCGAATACTTCTTGTGGGACTTACTAATAAGTGAAATATATTTTGCCTGTGAGCCTTCCCTGTATACTATTAAATGAAGCATACCGATCTCCATCTCGAGCCCTGCGGAACTGGTCTCCAATAAGACAAGACAGTAGCTTTCCAGTTCTTCCACCTGGAACCAAGGGTTCAGAGACTCCTCCAATCCAGAGATCTATGTTTTCAGGTGTTCCATACAGATCTAATAATTTTTTGGCCAGTTGCTTATTATTTAGAACAATGGCCAACTCATCTAGATTTTTGGGGGCAGAAAGGCCACAAAATCTCCTCCAAGAATTGTATCCTAGGTAGAAAGGAAAAATATGTAAGTGATATTGATCAGTCAGTTCCTGATGCATTCCAACACACTGCAACTGTGCTAAAATCAAAAACTTTACTTAATTTTTCTTAATCTGACTTCTCTGTGATCCCTGCAAGAAGTCCTTATGTAGCTCCACACAGGGTCACTAGATGTGACCTTCTGAACGCTCTGTGATCACTGCAACCAGCCTTTATGTTGCTCCTCAAAGGATCACTGGACATAAACTTCCCAAAATGTGACTTCCTCTCTCTGCCTCATATACAACCAATTACATATCTAATAGGTGGCTGTGAGAAACATTTTCATACTGAAAGAAAAGCCTGGTACACACGAAAGGTTTTTTTTTCTTTCAACCCAGCAGGCATGCACTAACCAAATGTTGACCAGTTCCCATTAAACCAGCCAGTATTGGACCATGTGTACCCAGCCTAAGAGGCAGCAATGAACTTGCTGTGTGCTTGCCTGGGAATAGTTCTTTTACAAAAGCTCTTAGTTCACCAGGTGAGTGGGGTGGGCTGGGGCACACTACTGCAATGTCTGAATGGAAAAGTGACATTTTCCACAGGTAGGCTTGCTTCCCATATTCACCTCAAGGCAATTGTCAATTTTTACAAGATTGATCTCAATGGAAAAAAATACTAACAAGCAGGAACCAAAAGGTTATCCTGGTATCAGAATTTTGGCACTGCATGCTTTTGATGCAGAACCTGCTATTGGCATTGCAATAGCACATAGACTCCTGGTAAAGGATAGGGGGAGCATGAAAAGGGGTTAAATATTGTTAGAACTTAGTTAAGGGCAGAGGTTCTTAAATTTTACCATACCGGGAGGCAAAGAGACCCAAAGAGAATTTTTCTTAAAATTATTTGTTTTACAGAGGTTATAAATTCTTTCATTCTTTTTTTTTCTTTTTTTACATTTTTAACTAGCATCAGGGTTCCTACGCCTCAAAGCTTTCTCTATATAAATGCCATCTGCTCCTACCTTTGCATATCCATGCATGTCTGTGCTGTCAATCATATTTGTTTGTTTCACAGGTTGTGAGAGAGTAATGGTGTTGTCAACAGGAATATTTATTACATTTTTATTCGATACAAAAAACACAAAAATTTGTGTCCCTTTATTAAAGAGATGTTTTGATCATACTGTTTTAGAACAAAAAGTTGACATTCATATTGGTTTCATGTTACCTGGCAGGCCATGTTCACGCCCTCTCTGTATATTGAGTGCTGCTAGATCAAAACCAATACGCTTCACAAACTTAAACAGGCGCTCCCTCAACTCATCATCCACCATCTGATTTTGCCGGTTCAGTTTGGCAGAATTGGCCAACATACCCCTAAGGAAAGGGTCGATTCCACCTGCAAGTAGGAAACACTGGTAGTAATGTAAAGATTAAAGTACGATATATTAATCACAGAGATGAAGTGCTTAAAATGTTGCTTTGCTTGAAATATATTCTGTATCAATTTTCTACAAAGTGTTACTCTAATTTCATTAATTGCGTATAGCTCTCTACCTATTGCTTCTCAACCAATGGGATATTTGCCCCCAAGGACACTTTGATGGATTCAAGAGAAGACAACTTTTTCTTTGGTTAAGTTTAACATAACAATTATAGCAAATAATTAATCATGTATAAAATAGATATCAGGCATTTTAAAACATTTTGGATTGTTTGGAAAACATTTACATGCAGTTAGAGGCACTAATATTTAGTCTACATTTTCAAGGTATGCTACAGATTAGGTGAGCCACTTGGAAGTAGATAGTTAACACTGGTTTCTATAAAGGGGTAAATACACTAATGCAGGAATTGCACAAACAAGCTAAGTCTGCTCAATAAATCATTAAAGTTAAAAAAAAAAACTTAGTAGATATACTTACCTTACCCACAGGTTTCACACTGCAGATCCTGGGAAATGCTGATTATCCCTAATCTCTAGAGAAGACACTCCAGCACAATGCAAGAGTGTATTTTTTATTAGATTTGGGTTACTCAGCATTTCCCAGAACCTGTTGTAAAGATGGAGATGTCATCCTCGCCTGGAGACCAGGAGTGGAAGCAGTATTAAAGAATAACTTTTTGCCCTGCAGGTTTCTTTTTTCAACTTTAATGGTCCTAAAATTTGTAGTGGAGGAGGGCTTAATGCTTTAGGGAGACCTTGCTTTTTAGTGCAATGGCCATTCTAATAAACTGAAAAAAGCTAGCGCAGATGAGAGATTATTTAATAAACTGACAAACAACATGATTATAATTGGCCAGTTTACCTTCTTTTGCCATCCTCCATGTGGTAAAGAAAGTCTTATGAAGAGGGACAGCAGGGTCTGTTTGATATGGCCGATATCCATCTCCTAGACGGTACACTAGTGGATGAACCAGAGTGTGCCCCATACGAAAAGCAAGAGTGAATGCATTTGAGACTCTTGGATCTTCATTATCATTATAACCTGTATGTGTAGGCAGAACATGGGACATCTCACTGCCCAGCAGTAGAGGAAGCCAATCTTTATATGTTATTTTCTGGTAATGAGAAAATATATAGATAAAATAAGTCTCATACTGTACATAAACAAATGGACATTCAGACAGCAAGAGATACAGTGAAGGAAATACGTTTTTGATCCCCTGCTGATTTTGAATGTTTGCCCACTCACAAAGAAATGATCATTCTAAAAATCGAATGGTAGGTGTATTGTAACACTGAGAGGAAGAATAGCAACAAAAAATTTAAAAGAAATGCATATCTAACAAATTATGCACTGATTTGCATGTTCATGAGGGAAATAAGTATATTACAATATATATATATATATATATATATATATATATATATATATATATATATATAATTTGCAGTCATGTGGAAAAGTAAGTACCCTTCCTTGGAGATTGTCAACTTTTTCATTTGAACAGCACCTACTGATAAAGGACATTCATTCATATAATGTAAAAATAAGAAAATACAGGTATGTCACGTGTAAAAAGCAAGAACACCTCTTCATTTACCTGTATTTCAAATCCATAAAAATTAGGATCAGGAGTTCAGGATTAGGTAACAGTGATTAGAAACTTCATAGGGAATATGCAGTTGGACCCAGTTTTATTTAAAACTCAGATATCTAGGGTATAGTGTCATCATGTTGAGATCAAAAGAGCTCTCTAAAGACCTAAGAAAGAAGGTTCTGGGGGTCTATGAATCTGGCAAAGGATTTAGCAAATTATTTGAAATCAATCATTCCACTGGAAGGAAATAATCCACAAATGGTGAAAATTTCAAATGCCTGCTAATTTGTCCAGGACTAGCAGGCCCAGCACAATTAGCCCAGGATCTGACCAAGAGCTGTCATTGCGATGCTAAAACAAGTCTCCAAGAACCCCAAAATTTCATTGGGGATCTTCAAGTAACTCTTACTACAGTTGGCATCAAAGTGCATGAATCAAAAAGAGAATCCACCAGTGTTCCTCCATGGAAAGTGCGCCAGATGAAAGCCGTTGCTATCCAAACGAAACATTACAACACGATTAATGTTTGCTATTGAACATATAGGCAAAGACCAGGCCTTCTGGAGCAATGTGTTGAGGACTGATGAATCAAAGATAGAGTTATTTGGCCACAGTATTAGTAAATACGTTTGGTGAAAACCCAATACAACATTTCAGGAGAAATTCATACCAACAGCTTAGTGCTGGAAATGTTATGGTTAGCCAAGGCAGCTTTCAGTCATCAAGTCAACTATGCCTGATGCATGATATCAAAGTATAATTAATGAGAATGTGAGGTCTTTGCAGGGAAAAAAATATGTATTAATTTTTTTTTTTTGCTAGGAGCATGTAAAGCATTGCACCCATGATCAGCAGATTGCAGGTGTGTTGCCACCTGCAGACTGTCTTTATATCTGTCTGTACCTCCGATATGGGCAGGCAGTTACACACTGACAGGAATCTCAATGTGCTACCTAGAGAGCTCAGCAGCATTCTAGTAGTGCATTGAGAACTACAAGCTGACAGCTGCAAATGCTGTCGGAACTTGGAGTTTTCCCATTCACAGAATCATGTTAATGAATGGTGCGGCTGGACAGGCTGAGCTCCGCACACTCCCATTTTTTTCAGATTGTGACAGCCAGTGGAGGGAGGAGATCCCCTGCTAGCTGTCAAAACAGGGGATCAGGGGAAGTGGAGGCTGGTGTAACAAAAGGTGAACTTATCCTTTAAAAAGAAGCAATATATTTTGTGCAGTAGTGTGGCTGTCATCAGTGTAATGATAATTCTATTTAGGTAAAACATTGCAACTTAAATCAAGTAACTGTTGAATCGCTTTTCTCTGGCTAAAATTTTTGTTTAATTTTGGACGTAGTAGAAACCCTGTCAGAAGTTAACATCTGACAGCAGAAGGAAGTTGTGGGGTGCTGGCTTTCTTATAACAGTGGGTATTTCAAGCAGTTCTTAAGCAGGGTATAGAGACTAATTACTTTTAGGCAGCTCTCCCAGAAGAGGTGCTGAAGGTCAGCTCAAGTAGAGATTAGGTATACAGGAGGAAAAACTCAAAAAGCAGAACATATAGATCCCAGACTTAATTTTATTTAGAAAATAAAACACATTTTGGGCATGATACTGTTGAACAAGGCAGTGATCCCTATAGCTCTCCAAAGGTCTGCAATCAGTAAAGCTCATACTCCCTACTGATAGGAGAGCTCTACCTCTGACTCAGCAGAGCACATGCTAGTCCATTGCTACCACACAGAGGGCAAGGGTCTTATTCTGCAGCTTGCTGGCAGGAGACTGGCTTTTCTGCTCACACTGTGGCTGCTTTCTAAACTAAACAAACTGGAAGACCTTGCAAGCCCTTTTGGTTTGAAGCACCCAAATGTATTTAGCTGAGTTAAACTAAAGACTCAGTTGAGCTCAAACATTATCTGCCTATGGGACAAATGCTTTGTTCATTTGTGATATACTATTATTAAAGTAACACACCTGCATCATGCTCCCAATGATCTTGCGGGTCTCTTGGTACAGTCTCTCTCCAGACCAATGAGGGTTTAATTTATTAAGCTGAATGGCAATGCGGTTATGTTCCCGAAGAAAGAGTGTGTGGAACGTTGTAAGTCCAAGCTGTTCACTCACACGAGAATCTCCTGTAGAAGGTAACATTAATTAAGACACAGGCTGACACAAGCTAAGTGAATTTAAAAGATAAAGACAACAAACTGTATTAAAAATGGCATATAATCCCAAATGGGTCCTCATGATTTAAAATAACAATAAAAATATGTTATGGAAACTGTACTGCTGAGATTTCTTTATGCCTCTGGCATACACATACAGTACAGTATCTATGGGTTTGAATTTCAGTCACTGATAGCGTAACCAACTTTCTAAAAATGTATGGACAACGTTCTCAATAAAGTGTACATGCACTAACAAATTACTTACCTTTAATAGGTCCCAATATCCCTCACAGTAGCTCTATCAAGGCATATACTTACCTACTCCCAGGCTCCACCGAGATCTTTGCTGTGTGGCCTGTCTTTTGTAGCATATTCCGCTCCTGAAACAGCAGCACCAAATGCTACCAACTCCACACTCAAACCACACCGCCAAGATGCCAGCATTGAAAAACACTGATCTGCCCTCTACAGTGTGATGCCAATCACACTGATCATTGTAGGCTCTACAACATGATGTACTTGTGAAGGCAGAAGTCCCCCTATGCTCAGGATATTGTAAACAGAAAAGTACAGTAACAGAGAGGATCTGGAGTAATCAATGAAGAACTGTAAAAGATCTGCCTTTGTGTAACACATAAAATCATTGCTTGTATATATTGTTATTATACTGTGAATTTCTAAAACCACTTGCCCTCCAGAGGATTTACCCCCCTTCCTGACCAGGCCACTTTTTGCAATACTGCACTGCGTTACTTTAATTGACAATTGCGCAGTCATGCAACGCTGTACATAAATTAAATTTATGTCCTTTTTTCCCACAAATAGCGCTTTCTTTCAGTGGTATTTGATCACCTCTGCGTTTTTGTTTTTTTTTGCGCTATAAAAAAAAAAGACCAACAAATTAAAAAAAATAAATAAATTATATATATATATATATATATATATATATATATATTTTTTTTTTTTTTTGGCTATAAAACATATCCAATAAAAAAAATGTTAAAAATCAAACTTCCTCATAAATTTTGGCCAAAATGTATTCTACTACATGTCTTTGCTAAAAAAAAAATCCCAATACGTGTAAATTAATTGGTTTACATGAAAGTTATAGCATCTACAAATGGCGGTATATATACTGGAATTTTTACTTTTTTTATACTAGCAATGGCAGCAATTGGTGACTTAGCGGGACTGCAGCGGGCATTCTGACACTGGCTGGGAACTGACTAACTGCCACTGACATCCCGAGTGACACTAATACAGTGATCAGTGCTAATAGAAAGCACCGACACTGTACTAATGACACTAGGCAGGAAGGGGTTAACGTTTCGGCAATCAAAGGGTTAACTGTGTGCTGTGTGTGTTTTACTGTGTGTGCTGTTTTACTAGGGAGGCATGCTGTTTTGTATTTCTCCGCTGTGCAGAGAAATACAAAGCAGCATGTACTTGCTGGCAGGAGAGAGATCTGTGTTTGTTTATACACAGGTCTCTCCCGTCAGCTTTGCACGGCGATCGCCGAGTGCTGGCAGGAAATCTGGCGGGGACCCGGTGATTGACATGCCTAGCAGCCAATGGCGGCGTGTGTAGGGTGGTGCGCGCATGTGCCCCCTACCTGGATATGCCAATAACATATACATGATTTTGCGCAGCCCTGTAGGAGTAATTGTACTATAGGGTGACGGGCAAGCCGTTAATTATTAGAATTTTAACCTTCCTTTTATCAATGCTTGCAAATTCAGTCAACCTTTTCCCTTTTTCTCCTCCTTTAGGCTAGGTTCACACCTATGCAGGTTGTGTTTGACCCATTTCAACACCCGTTTTGTGTTGCGTTTTTCTTATTTTCTTAATTTTTCTTGTTGCTAGGCAGATTTAAAACGCAAAATGCAAAACACATCAAGAATGCATAAAAAATGTGGTAAAAACGCAATACATGCTTTTCTGCAGCATTTCCATTGAAGTCTATTGAACCAAAAACGCAACCTTTTGCGTTAAAAAAAGTCCTGACCTTTCCAAAAAAATGCACTGGGTGAAAACACAGATATGTGAACATGTGCCATGGGAAATCATGTTACATGAACTGTACAGCGTTTCTGCAAAATGCTGCAGAAAATGCTTAGGTGTGAACCTAGGGTTAGACAAGCCCTGTAATTTTCAGCCCATACCTTCATACAGACTGACTGTTTACAAGCTGCAGAGCTTGTGAATGAACTACAAGGGTGTTCATCAGTGACCCTGCAGTTTATTCAGAAATACAAGCCTTCGGCTGCAAAGGCTGACGGAACTTGTAGTTAAGTTCAAGTAATTAACTGGAGACTAAGAATGAATGACGTGGCTGTGTAGGCGGAGCCCCGCACAGCTACATTAGTTTCAAATAGTGACAGCAAGCGCCCGGAGAAGATCCCGGAGAAGATCCCCGCTCATTGTCACTGGGAGGGAGGGGAGAGGTGGAGGAAATTAAACTGCTGGAACATGTTACATATATCCTTTAATCTTGCCACCTTCACCTTTGCAATATTTCCAGAATTTGTCCTTTCCTGACTAGTGACACCACAAAACAACCTATTCACTCCTGGCTACTGCAACTCCCTCACTGGCCTACCTTTACACAGGCTAATCCCCCTTCAATCTACAGTATTCTGAATGCTGCTGCTGGAATAATACACCTTATAAACCGGTCTATGATTGCTGCCCCTCTCTGCCAATTCCTTCACTGGCTTCCACTACACCAACGTATAAAATTCAAAATACTAACCACAATGTACAAAGCCATCCACAACACTTCCCCCAGCTATATCACCAACCTCATCCACAGATGTTGCCCAAATCGTCCTCTTCGCTCTTCCCAAGACATCCTGTTCTCTTGCTTGCTTGTTACCTCCTTCCATGCTCACCTCCCGTTCTTTTCCAGAACCTCTTCCATCCTCTGGAACTCCCTATCACAATATGTCCAGTCAGCTCCTCCCTGTTTGCCTTTAGTCAATCTTTGAAATTCAGTTTACTCAGGGAAACCTACCCCACCACCACCTAAAAATCTATACTTAAGTCTCCTCCATCAGATCATCCCGGCAGCTCTTACCTTTTGTACCACCTCTCCCTTCCTACAGATTGTAAGGTTCATGAGCAGGGCCCTCCTATTCCTTCTGTGTTGAACTGTATTGTCGTTTTACAGACCCCTTTATGTTGTAAAGCACTGCACAAACTGTTGGCACTATATAAATCCTGTAGTATAATAATAATGATGATAATAATATAATAATAATAATAAAATATGCTTGATTTTCATGTGCACATATTCCCATTGATTTTTATGTAGTCTTTTTGGAAATGGACGTAATGGCAGTAAACTGTTACCAGCTAAAAATAATGGCACTGTGGCAACAAAAATATTGAGTGGCATTAAGAGACCACTGTAAACCCACCTGCCAAGAAGCAAGGAATTCCAGCTGACTTGTTTGTGATGGTACATATATCTCCGTTATTTCCACTAAATGGCAGAAATGACCGGCCATTGTCTGTGTAATTCTGGTTAATAGCCAATAGCCCCAGATTGTTGGTAGTGTTACGAAGCTTAGTCGCAAGAGTTAAGTCACTGCCATACACTTGGCTTGCATCAACAAACGATGTCAGGACATTGATTTGCTCTCGTAAAGGAGTAACCAGATTGCACACAGGTGCTGAGCGGAAAAGAGGAATACAGTCACTCTGGTTTTTTATCCTAGGGTCATTTGCTGGTATCTGCAAACAGAATACAGTGTTAATTTGTAATAAAACAAGCAAATGTACAGTATCTACAAAAACACTCAGTATTATTTGTCTTTACAATTACAACCGCAGACTTTGTTTTTCTCTTGAGCAACTTACAGGACTATACTATGCCATACGTTTAAAATAGTGTCCATTCTTTGAACTGCAATTTTATGCTAGTGTTCCAGTATATTAACACTTATGTGACCAAAAGTCATTGATGCCTAGATGCCCAGGCCACATTTTGCAGTGCCAGCATGCATCGTTTAATTACCAACTCTATACATATAAGATCTCCATTTGGCTGCGAAGCCAGCTGCCTCCCTAACAATCAATGACAGGTAGAGAGGGGAAGGGGTAGCAGCAGCAAATATACCACCTGCTATACATCGCACAGAAACAGGCACTCTTCCTGTCTCTGTATACCAACTTAGAGTTGGTCTTAAAGAATATGTAAACCCAACATTTCATATTCCTAATATGTGCCTGCTGTACCATGTACTTGTATGAAAAAGTACCTTATTCTCTTTGCATTGCTTCATTTGTGTGAAATCCCTGGTGTTCCTGCCAGTCCCTTTGCTTTACTTTTCAAAACTGACTACACTAGGCACACGAGCACAGTGTGGTCAGTTTTCTAGCTATGCAGGGAACTCAACCTGACTTGTCCTGACACCTTTCCTCCACACACACAGTCTTTCACTGCGAAAATCATTGTAATGCTATTTCTCCTCCCCCCAGCTCTTATGCAGCTGAGAACAGATTGTTTATAAAAACAGAGAAAAATGTATCTATCATTTTTTTATATGTATACATAAATGTTTTGTCTTTTTTTTCTATTTTAAGCCGAATGGGTTGTTTTACAAGGTGAAGGTTTACAATCACTTTAGTTACCTCCAGTTTTATTATGAGCGTAATTATTTTTTAATTTGGTGCAGTAATAGTGCCACTTTGTAAAGGTGGCACTATTAACTATCTGAATGTGTCACGTGTGTCGGTAAGGCTTTCAAAATAGTTAGGGATTTTTTCAATCTAGTGCAGGCCATTTTAAAGAGCCATGGCCCCAGAAAACTGGTCTTAGGGCTTTACTGAATTATCACAAGTGTCATCTGATGGAATTGTACAAAGTAATTGACGTAAGGGATGAGCAAAACAGAGAATCTTGGCAAAATGCATGGGAGTCAAAGATAAGGTGAAATTAATTGTGTTGAGTTTTACAGTGCAATTGCATTTAAAATTCTACTGAGGGTTAGAGAAGTGCTTTTCAACTACCCTTGACCAATTGTTATTCCACAAAATTGTCCTTCGCGAGCCTTAGTATTTACTTTTTCTCAGAAAGAAAAAAGACAGTAAAAAAAAATATAATAAATAAAATATAGTGCTTTTTGCGGTGCATTTTTGCACATGCCTTTTTTACGTTTTTGGTGCGTTTTGCGTTTTTTCAACTTGTTGCTGGGCAGATTACCACTCAACACGCATCAAAAATGTGTCAAAAACTCATCAAAAATGCACTACATGCATTTCTGCAGTGTCTCCATTGAAGTCTATTGCACTAAAAACGCAATATTTTGCATTTAAAAAAGTCCCTGACCCTTTCCAAAAAACGCACCGGGTGAAAACATGGAGATGTGAATCTGTCCCATAGGAAATTATGTTAAATTGACTGCTGTGCATTTCTGAAAACAGCTAAATGCAATGAAAAACGCATAGGTGTGAACCTAGACTTAGGGCTTGTTCACACCAAAATGTGTGCTAAAACAATGTTTTTTTTTAGCATGTGGTCTGTTGTCAGTGTTTAGTGGAACTGAGGGGTGGTGCTTTGCTTTGCCTCACTGGAACAATGTGGTGGCCGTCGGATCCCCGTGATCCGACGGCTTGACGTCAATTGGCTTGATTATTGTCACTGTCTATCAACTCCCAGTACCATTGGGAAGATCATCCAATCCCCGGCTACACACCTGATTACACCCGAAGGACCAGGGCATGTTCAGGAGCTTATGATTCAACACGCTTTTCATTAGCGCTTTTGGTGAGTGCGCATTCTATATGTTTATCTACACACTCATTCAAGTGGAATCAGTATTCTGGGACTATATAGAAGTTTTTTGAAGATTGCATCAGTTTTAAGAATTTTAAATAATTTTGGACATTTTATATCAACATACTCGTCATGATTATATGTTTCCTATAGATATTTGCATTTTACTTTATTCTATATGCTCATTTTCTGAGTAATATTCCTCAGTACTATTTGTGACACAAAACGCATCTATCATATACATGCGTTTGGTAGACGATATTAATCATTTATTTAGCGCTGCACTATTTTATATTGAAGTTAGAAACTGACTGGCTACCATGCATAGCTGCATCAGATTCTCAGTACTCCAGTTTTAGTAAATCTTCCCCACTATGTGCTTTGTTAGATGAGGATGCCATAATGGGTCAGTGACTAAAAAAATAACTTCACTCAAGATTGTATGCTTGCCTAAAGTGGTTGAAACTTTCAGGGACTGGAGAGTGCTAAATGGTATGTACTAAGGAACCTCCAGAGAAAAGAAGAGACTCATGAGAAGTCCAGGATGCCAAAGAATGAGAAAGTGAGAGTGGAGAAGAGGAAGTCATGTTCAGAGTGGTGGTTGCATTTAGGATAATATGTGAACATTATTAGCTAAATAAATTAGTATTTGTCAATATCTAAATATCTCAGAAAACTTCATTCCAATCACAGCTTTTGACCACTACCCTTACCGTCAGAGGAAAACAGGGATGTGCCCGGGCACAGCTGGTTTCGCAGTCCACTCCATCAAAGAATGTTGATCTTGCTGGGGTATCAGGCGAGAGATCAGTGTCATGATCTAAGAACTGCCCCCACTGCATGAACATGAGAGATCTGTCTGTATCCACAGTCGGTAAGCTGTTGTTGTAACTGACAATCTCATTTGATACGGCACGTGCCTGGGGAAAGTGTGGGTAGAATTTTGAGATTGAGTCCACAAGCTTTGTAACAGTAATAGCAAAGACAGCAAACAATATCTGGAGATGTTGTGCCTTGCTAAGCACAGATCAACTCCACTCACCCCATTTAAGAATTCATCTCCCCTTCCCATTTATTGCATGCATTTACACTCACCGGTCACTTTATTAGGTATACCTTGCTAGTACTGGGTTGGACCCCCTTTTGCCTTCAGAACTGCCTCAAGTCTTCATGGCATAAATTCAACAAGGTGTTGGAAACATTTCCTCAGAGATTTTGGTCCATATTGACATGAGTTACTGTTGCCTTTCTATCATCTCAAACCAGTCTGCCCATTCTCCTCTGACGTCTGACATCAACAAGGTATTTTTGTCCACACAACTGCCACTCACTGGGTATATTCTATTTTTCGAAGCATTCTCTGTAAACCCTAAAGATAGCTCTGTGTGAAATTCCCAGTAGATCAGCAGTTTGTGAAATACTCAGACCAGCCTGTCTGGCACCAACAACCATGCCATGTTCAAAGTCACTTAAATTTCCTTTCCTCCCCAATTTGATGCTCGGTTTGAACTTCAGCAAGTCGTCTTCACCACGTCTAGATGCCTAAATGCATTGAGTTGCTGCCATGTGATTGGCTGATTAACAATTTGTGCTACCAAGCCATTGAACGGGGGTACCTAATAAAGTGGCAAGTGAGTGCATATTAACTATAAAAGTTATTACTTTTCAAAATGTTTGTTTTTAGTGCCGGGTGGCTGTTCATGTTAGGTGTCCTTCAAGTAGAATTTTGGGAAATTAAAATAGTATTATACAGTGAGGAACAGAAGTATTTGAACACCCTGCGATTTTGCAAGTTCTCCCACTTAGAAATCATGGAGGGGTCTGAAATTCACATTGTAGGTGCATTCCCACTCTGAGAGACAGAATTTAAAAAAAAAATTCAGGAAATCACATTGTATGATTTTTAAAGAATTTATTTGTCTTGCACTGCTGAACATAAGTATTTGAACACCTGAGAAAATCAGTGTTCATATTTGGCATAGAAGCCTTTCTTTGCAATTACAGAGGCCAAACATTTCCTGTAGTTCTTGATCAGGTTTGCACACACTGCAACAGGGATTTTGGCCCACTTCTCCACACAAATCTCCTCTAGATCTGTCAGGTTTTGGGGCTGTCGCTGAGCAACACGGAGTTTCAGCTCCCTCCAAAGATGTTCTATTGGATTTAGGTCTGAAGACTGGCTAGGCCACTCCAGAACCTTGATATGCTTCTTACGGTGCCACTCCTTGGTTATCCTGGCTGTGTGCTTCAGGTCGTTGTCATGTTGGAAGACCCAGCCACGACCCATCTTCAATGCTCTGACTGAGGGATGGAGATTGTTGCTCAAAATCTCACAATAAATAGCCCCATTCATCCTCTCCTTAATACAGTGCAGTCATCCTGTCCCCTTTGCAGAAAAGCACCCCCAAAGCATGATGTTATCGCCCCCATGCTTCACAGTAGGGATGGTGTTCTTGGGATGCAACTCATCCTTCTTTTTCCTCCAAACACGACGAGTGAAGTTTAGACCAAAAAGTTCTCCTTTGGTCTCATCTGACCACATGACTTTCTCCCATGCCTCCTCTGGATCATCTAGATGGTCATTGACAAACTTCAGACGGGCCTGGACATGTGATGACTTGAGCAGGGGAACCTTCCGTGCAATGCATGATTTGAAACCATGATGGCGTAGTGTTCTACCGACAGTGACCTTTGAAACTGTGGTCCCATCTCTCTTCGTGTCATTGACCAGCTCCTTCCTTGTAGTTCTGGGCTGATTCCTCACCTTTCTTATCATCAGTGATACCCCACGAGGTGAGTTCTTGCATGGAGCCCCAGTCCAAGGGAGACTGACAGTCATCTTTAGCCTCTCCCATTTTCTAACAATTGCTCCAACAGTTGATCTATTTTCACCAAGCTGCTTGGCAATTGCCCCGTAGCCCTTTCCAGCCTTGTGGAGGTCCACAATTTTGTCTCTGGTGTCTTTTGACAGCTCTTTGGTCTTGCCCATGGTAGTAGCTGGCGTTTGACTGACTGTGGGGTGGACAGGTGTCTTTAAAGAGCTCAGACAGGTGCTACTAAGTTAGATTAATGAGTGGAGTAGAGGTGGACTTTTTAAAGGCACAGTAACAGGTCTTTGAGAGCCAGAATTCTTGCTGTTTCTTAGGTGTTCAAATACTTATGTTCAGTAGTGCAAGACAAATAAATTCTTTACAAATCATACAATGTGATTTCCTGAATTTTTTTTTTAATTCTGTCTTTTAGAGTGGGAATTCACCTACAATGTGAATTTCAGACCCCTCCATGATTTTTAAGTGGGAGAACTTGCAAATCGCAGGGTGTTCAAATACTTCTGTTCCTCGCTGTATATACCAACCTTTCTCAACCCTTTCAATACAGAGGGACCCGTGAAATAACTTTCCAGTCTCAGGGGACCCCTACTAATAATTACTATATCTACCACTCATGATACATTAGTGTGATGGTCAGTGGGAAGAATGCTTCTTAAATTTGTGGTCATTCTGAAGAAGTACCCCCTTACAGATAGCTAAAAAGATCAATTGTGTCAGTGGGAACCTATCTGAGAGGCAGAAATTGCTTATTGCTCAAAGAACCCTTAGCAACCTCTGGAGGAATCCTGGTTGAGAAACCCTGATCTATACCTTTGTATACAGTATATACTTAAAATGTAAGCATGCCAGATAGAGGATTGTGTAATAAACATAAAACTTTCAAAAGCACCAAACTTTCCTAAGAATGTCTCCTTGTCCTTGTGTAATATTGTGCACTGTGGGATATGGTAAGTTTAGCAATGTTGGAAACGTCAGCTGAACCTACCTAGTAACTTCACCACTCCGACCTGTCAAGATTGATTTGCACATGGCTAGGTGAAGAGTGGTCTAAAGTATTTAATACATTCCCACATCTCTGTCACTTTTACTGCCAGCTCACCGGGCTACCAGGATATGTAGTCCCAGCTTCCTCATTCTTGTAGGGGATGCAGAGATCTCATCAGGATCCTCCTCATCCATGGTTTCATGACCAGACCTTCCATGATAATGTATCTTTTTTATATACTTGTAGGCTGTAGTAATGAAGGATTTGCCAGCTTCACTAATGACCAAATTTATCTGTGGCATAACAGAATCCTGCTGACTAAAGCAGTGGTTTGGGTCAAATATTTTATCTGGGGTCCGGCCTATATACCTAAGGACCCAAAGACAGTCTCTTAGTAAATTACATACCTTAAATTACAGACTCTGACCAGCTGACCAAGATGACTGCACACATACACACAAAGCATTTTTATTTTGCTTTGGAAAGCTAATATCACCTTGGGTAGAGAGAATCCATTGATAATACGACTTTCTGTCCAGCCTTTGGGAAGGGAAATACCATCTTCATACTCTGGTGAAAGGAGACGTTTGTAGCCCGTGTTTGAGGCACCAAGGATTGGGCTCTTCCTACAGAATGTACAAGAGAACCAAATCAGCATTTGGTAAAAACAATGGACACTTTGATAATAAAGACAGCAAATATCAACTCGCAAATTTAAAAAGACTGTACATCAAGTTTCTTGTACAATGATCAAACTTGTGCAGGACTTAAATTTTCTGAAGTGTGTATTAAACTTTAATCTATCATCAGATAACAGAAAACTATACATTTAATACAATTACAAATTGTAATGGACCACTTCACTCAAAAGAATTATTGGAGAATTTCCTTTTATTTTTAATAATTATTGTACATAAGGTACAAAAGAGGACATTTACACAATTAAGCAGGCCATAGACGAGTCGAAAAAAGGAAAGTTCTGTTGATCAAAAAATGAAAATAGCTCATATGATTGTGCCATCAATTGTTGTGATTTTCTAAAAAAAAAACCCAAAAAACAGCATGTTGGATCAGACACGTTCTATTGTTGCACAAAAATCATGTGTCAAAAAACTAACTAATTCATGATCGACACAAATTTTGTTCATTTTTCAACTCACCTAAGGCCTGCTTTAGACATTAATTGATGGAGCATTTCATTTAGGCATTCTAGTTAATCATCTTTACAATTACATACAAACATATACAAGGGCAGCACAGTGGCTAATTGGTTAGCGCTTCCACCTGGCACTACTAGGGTCGTTGGTTCAAATCCCAACCATGGCACCACATGTCTGGAGTTTGCCTGTTCTCTCTGTGCCTGCGTGGGTTTCCTCCGGGTAGTCCTCCCACCCTCCAAAGACATGCTGGTAGGTTAATTGGATCCTGTCTAAATTGTCTCTAGTATGTGTATGTATGAATGTGAATTAGGGACCTTAGACTGTACGCCCCTTGAGGGTTAGGGACTGATGTGAATGTACAATATATATGTAAAGCGCTGCGTAAAATTGACGGCACTATATAAGTACCTGAAATAAATAAATAAATAGCAATCGGAGGGTCCTGCTCATTAGAGCTTACGTGTACAGATATTATGGTGCGGGGACCCTAACAGAGTCCCCCTGAGCTTTACTGCACTCCATGGATTCCACTGACTGTACACTGTGCCTGCATGGGTTTCCTCCCACACTCCAAAGACATGCTGGTAGGTTAGTTGGATCTTGTCTAAATTGGCCCTAGTATGTGTATGAGGGTTAGGGACTGATGTGAATGTACAATATACATATATGTAAAGCGTTGTGTAAATTGACGGCGCTATATAAGTACCTGTAATCAGGGGCGGACTGACCATTTGGAAACTCGGGCACTGCCCAAGGGCCCGGGGTCTGTAGGGGGCCCCATAAGATGCCCCTGGTACCTTTTTCATAGGCTTTTTTGAGTTTGGGCAAGGACAAATTGCCCGGGGGGCCCATGAGTTGTCATTCCGCCCCTGCCTGTAATAAATAATACACACACACATCCAAAACAAGCCATTTAGCTATCTGTAGACAGCCTAATTTAGAGACCCTTTTGGTTCTCTTTAAGGTAGGTTTGAGGTTTAAAATGCTATTAAGATTTCTCCTTATGTGCTTTCCCTTTTCCAAAAGGGACCAAGACAGCAATAAAAACCCTACAAGAGCTTTCACCCATTCTTCAATCTACTAGTAGAAAAAAACATGCAAATAGTGCTGCCTGTGTCTTTTCACTAATTTCTTGTTCTGTCTACCACCCATCACATGACAGAGATGAAGAGAAGTAATAAAAGCTGGCAGAGCTTCTAGCATTTAGAGGCTTGATCCTAGACCAGTAATGGAAAGTTTTGCTTTGAGATGATGCCTTTGTAAAACAGATTGAGAATGCCCTGGGAGTGAGTGCAGCAAATAATGTAGGGGGCCTGAGGTTCTTACCTGTTATTACACTCCCCATTGATAGTGCGGTAGGGAGAGAGGGAGCAAACCTTAGGTAGGAACTGGTATGCACATCCTGTCAGTTCATTAAGGATTGTCTTCTGCTCAGCAGTCAGCACATCTAGAAATCAACAGAAACGCATTATTTGGCATGTATTCCCATAGTGTAATACTGAAAGTTGGAGGAAAGCTCCAATAAAGACATAAATCAATTTAAAGTAAAACTGCGTAAAAAAAATTTCTTTGGTTTCATTTATATAAAGATGGGCTTTTAGCTGTCTATTGTATGCCTGGGAAGGTTGTCACTGGACTACATGTGTACTCCATTTTTTACATTAATTGACCGCTTCCCGACCGCCCTATCGCAGAATTACTGCTACAGGGCGGCAGGGCTGAGCAAAAACACATATATAAACGTGATTTTCATTTCCAAGTCGGTAGTGCCTGTGCCGCACTACCCCGCGCCGCTATTGGCTGCTACAGCTGTTGATCACTGGGTCCCGGCCAGAGATTCCCCGACAACACCCGGCGATTTCCAAGGAACACTGATGGGATAGGTCTGTATACAGATCTCTTCCCTGTCAGCATTAGCATGCTGCTTTGTTTTGCTCTGCATAGCAGAGCAATACAAAGCCACATGCTTACACAGTAAAGCACACACAGACAAAATAGTGAACCAGCACACAGTTGACCCTTTGATTGCCCCAAATGTTAACCCCTTCCTGCTTAGTGTCATTAGTACAGTGACAGTGCTTTTTATTAGCATTGATCATTGTATTAGTGTCACTGGGGATGTCAGTGGCAGTTAGTTAGTTCCCCTCCAGTGTCAGAATGCCACAGTATCAGCACTGTCCATACAGAAGGTCAGGGGGTATGCAGCTTCATAGGACAGTTAGAGAAGAATGAAAACTCCTCCTACAAGCTTTATCCAGTGCTCAGCCAGACACTGATAGAAGTCATAAAACTGTTATATACTGCTGATGAGAAAAGTTATTTAGCAGTTTATATTTACTAAAATAATTTCATGTCCATGTTCTGTGTACTGTGGAAGACAAGATATAGTGAATGCAGGGTACTGGGTTTAGTAACTCTTTAACTGGCATCAATTGATTCCATTTACACTTGTCTGAATATCCCTCTTTGACTGGGGGGAGAAAAGAGGGAGTATTTATTTATTGAGAATCTGAATGCACTCCTTGTGATTTGCTGACAATGCTATTTAAAAGAAATCAAATTAACACACAATTAACAATTAATGGAAAGTGGAAATTGTAGCCACATTCAAAATATATTCTCTAAAGTGGAATAATACAGTATTACATTTATTACAGATACAAAAATACAGTTTGTGCTTATTCTAAAAGTATATTATTTCTGATGTTCTGCCACTAGAGGGCAGTTCTGATCTATTTATTTTAATGTGATACCTGAAACATTGAAGGGAACCGGATAGATGGATTTTAGTTTTGCAGCAACAAGCTGGAGGGTGACATCCATGTAATCAGCGGCTCTTATGGCGTTTCTGCTTAGGGATACGGGTTGTTTGAAAAAGGCCATAATATCAGAAGGACTTGCAGCCTCTCTCTTTGCTCGTAGCTTCAGGCTAAGACAACAAAAAACATGTTATTCACCAAGTTGCACTAAATAGTCTGGCAGAGGCAATAATCTACAATAAAATACAGGGGGCTGGTGTTCCTGTTTGTGTTATGCATTTATGTTCCCATTGTCATGGTGCCATTTGGCTGCCAGCCAACAACTCCTGCTGAGCTCCCACCAGTGCCACTGTCTCTATCCCTTGCCCTTTTACCTGTACCAAACCACTTACAGGCCTTAAAGTAGAGTTACCCCTAGCTGAATGACATTTATTTTGCTAACACACTGTGTATTGTAAGCAAATGCAATTTATTTCTTCTTTATTAATCTTTTTTTTTTTATATATATTTTATTATATCTACATGCTGTTCATCTTCTGCAGCCACTTTCTCTCTATATGCATATGCTTCAATGATGGCTGCATGTCATTTCTCACAGTGAGTTTTTGGATAGTGATTGCAGTGGAATATGTCTGCATAATATGTGTTAAATTGCCTCATGATGACAATGAAAGATCACAATTGGTAGAGAGAGACTGAGCATCGCCATCCTAAAACAGGAAGTGCCTAAACAAGGGTCTTTTGTGGCAGGATCACCAGGCTTTATTTTTTTTTTAAAGCCCCAGATTTAAATGGTCTATTGAAATTACATTAAAAGGTTAAAACTTATATATTGATTTTTTCTTTTAGTTTACATTTATCTTATATAGTTGCAGACCTTGGGTGTGCTACACATGCCCAAAATAAATTTTATCATTGTACACAGAGCGTATGCAGCACATCCAGTTTCTCTGCCCTACTTCTGGGGCCCACTCCCAGTATACCAAATTCTTCTCTGAGTGTATTGTAATGCAGGCAGCTCATTTATATGGATGAAGGCATCTGTCAGGAATCTGTCAGTTTTGTCTTGTTCAGCCAGCCAGCCCACAGGCTGAACAAGAAAGATCAATTTTTATGGCAGGTTTTAGACTTTTTTTTACTGGGGAGTTCAGGGGTATAGAAAAATAGTGTGGGTTTCAGAGAGGACAAGCTCAAATTATTATTTTGGGTGTCTGGTTTAAATCAGCCAATGTACTTATTAGAAGGTAAAGGGTAGGCATGTTGTTAATACACACCACCAGGCCTCTACATAACACTGAAAATGACCTATTAGCAAAGTATAGGTGACATATAGGTGAAGCGTAACTTGCATTACAGCCAGACTTTCCCTTTATTTTATGCTCATTGGTATGTTCATACACAAGTGGGAGTTCTGGTAGATCACAAGCTTAATAACGGCATGCAATGCCAAGCTGCGGTTTCTAAAGCGAGCAAAATCCTCTCTTGTATTAAAAGAGGTATAGACTCCAGAGAGAGATATCATTTTACCCCTGTACAAATCATTAGTAAAACCTCATCTGGAATATGCAGTTCAGTTTTGGGCACCAATTCACAAAAAGAACATTGGGGGGTACTGGAGAAAGTACAGAGAAGGGCAACCAGACTGATAAGAGGCATGGAGGGGCTCAGCTATGAGGAAAGATTAGAGGAACTGAATTTATTCTCTCTTGAGAAAAGGAGATTAAGGGGGATTTGATCAACATGTATAAATACATCAGTGGTTCATATAGTGAACTCGGTGTAGAGCTATTCACCCTGAGGGCATTGCAGAGGACAAGAGGGCACTCTTTACATCTGGAGGAAAAGAAATTTAATCTCCAAACACGGAAAGGTTTCTTCACAGTGAGAGCTGTGAAAATGTGGAATAGACTTCCTCAAGAGTTGGTTCTGGCAAGCTCAGTGGATTGCTTCAAAAAAGGCCTGGATTCTTTCTTAGATACACAGAATCTAACTGGATACTAACATTTATAGGTAAAGTTGATCCAGGGAATATCGGATTGCCTCTCGGGGGATCAGAAAGGAAGTTTTTTCCCAGCAGGAGCAAATTGGATCATGCTTTGCTGGATTTTTTTTTGCCTTCCTCTGGATCAACTGTGGGTATAGGATTATAACTTTTTTTTTTCTATGGTTGAACTGGATGGACTTTTGTCTTTTTTTAGCCAGACTTACTATGTAACTATGTAAGTCAAAAATGATTTTGCTTCTCTGAAAGTTTGCTTTTGCAGGTCACTAACCATGTAATAAAGAAGCTCTAGAAGAAATAGCCCACTTACTCCTCAGTAATCTAACTCATCCCTTATGTATGTCAGTAGATACACACTTGGTGCTTACAGTTGTATGGTTCAAAATAAATTTCACTTAATTTTTACTGTATTGTTCAAGTGGGATGCAAAATATGTACTGGTACATCTGTTATGCCAGTATTATGTTAGTGAGTTAGCAGTCTGTCCAGGTGTTAGAGAAGGGTTAAGTCTGCCAGCTTCTCTGTGTTCATGGCTTTGCCCCCTTGTGGCGAGACTATAAATACAAGGGGAGGCAGCCTATGTGGGGGTTAGGCCTTCCACGTGGGATCTAACAGGAAGGGGTATGGCAGGATGTAACTCCACCAAGAACGCAGCTTCCCTTTTGGGGTACCCAGTCGGGGTACCGGAGTCAGAACATGGACCTTTCATAAGGGACTCTTCCTTGCTTAGAGGTATGATATGGGCAGCCTACTTAGGATGAACTGGAACCGTGTCTGTAATTTACTTTGGGAGACTCTGTCGTATTAACTCTGTACTTGCAAGAAAGCCTCAGTAAATGTTCCAGAAGTTGTTAAATGCCTGGTCTGAAGATCTAAAGGGGTGCATTATGGTACATGACGCATCCAAAAAGAACAGAGTGTAACAGAAAGAAAGATGAAGAGGAGAAGAAAGAGAGCCATCATGAAGGGGTTAATTGTGCAGTGGAGTTGGCAGAAGTTATCTCTAACATGCCAATCAGGACTGGTGAGAATGCTATGCCAGCCAGCGGGAAAGTAGTACTGGGCATGGGTGACGATGTTCCCTGGTAGTGAGGGGGTTGGTGGTCAGACCTCTCTCCCTATTAAACAGTGCCCCTTTGTATCTGGGACTGGGACTAGGAAATTCGCAGCACAGGGAACCTATGGGCCTAGCTGGAGGTGCTGGGAGAAAGAGAGGTGAATCCACAAAGAGTTATTGCTCTCTACATTGTCACTGGGAGTGAGGTGACAAGTCATGTCTGAGCTGGTGGAGCGGGGCACAGGCTCCACGATGTCCCCTCAAAATCCTACATTCAGGAAGAAAGGTGTACAGTTTCATGAGAAGAGTGCTTCACAGTAAAGTGCTTCATGTGTAAAATGTATATGTGCAAGGTGAACAGCTCGCTGCTAAGTAGGGTTGCCGCCTTAATGCTGATTTTCACAAGAATGCGGCTCTGTGCCTGTTTCCTAGGCATTAGCGAGTGCATTCACAGAGGGTCCCCATATTGGGCAAGATGGCCCAACCCACAGTCTTTGGGCAGCTGTATAGAATGTATTGATAGCATGTCTGCTCCTGTCTGAGCTATTCCATCGAAATCTTAAGTGAAAATGTATTTACAACATTTTGCAGTGATGGAGTTCAATACACAGTAACCAATTACAGTCTATCTTTCTTCAGCACAAATTGTAGTTGATTGGTATAAACCAGGGTCACCACCCATCCAGAAATGTAAAAATGTAGGCTATCAGGCTGTCTATAAAATCTACGAAAATGGATCACTTAAAAAAAAGTGTTGACTTTTTTACTTTGAGTTCATGTTATATGTTAATTTGATTCAGGCAGGAATAAATATTTGTCCTCCCATGTAGAAGACAGGTCTCTATTGGTCCTGCAAAAGTATGAAACTAACCATCTGGGTTTATCACAAAACATCAAAATAATTCATACATAAACGTCATTTGCTGTTGTGATGTTTACTAGGCTGGATATTTGCCTTTATGCAAATGAACAAGACATAAGTTACATTTCAAAGTTACTTTTTTACGAGTTTTGTACACGCCTTATCCTTCCAAACGTTTTGCAAAGTAAATTGTCATCATGGTCTTTCAGCTCACCTGAAAAAAAGAATACATTGAATAACAATGGGTAAAGTGTAAAAGATAGGCCAAGATCATCAAGGATGTTTTAACATGCTTTAAAGTCAGTCTTTGCAATGCCTCATAAGATGGAGGGCCACAGTTGCCCACCCCTGATCTAGACCATTTTTTCAACATCCCTAGCTTATCTTACTTTTTACGAGTTTCAGTATACGCCTTATCACCACCAAAAAACGTATTTTGCTTGTGTCACACTTTCATGAAGTAAATTGTCATCAAGGTCTTTCAGCTCACCTGAAAAAAGAATACATTGAATAACAATGGGTAATTGTGTACCCAATAAAAGATGGCAAGATCATCAAGGATGCCTTTTATTATCATTATCTAGACCAGGGTGGGCAACTGTGGCCCTCCAGCTGTAGAATTGGTGAACTACAATCCCATCCCATGCCTTTGCCTTTGGGAGTTATGCTTGTCAACTGTCAGTTTTGCAATGTTTCATTTCTCGACATCGCGGGACTTGATAGTTCTACAACATGCTGGAGGGCCACAGTTGCCCACCCCTGATGCCTAGACCATAGTTTATCAAGAATGGCTATTTGGAGGGTATGTGTCTAGATTTCAAGAGATTTAAGATATTTCCAAGTGATTTAACACTTCAGCATCTGTCAAATACAGAGGTTTGTGTGAATATCTATAAAAATAATCTAAGATGTCATATCTAAAAAAAAATATATAGATTGATATATGTAATTTGCTCAGATATCTGAAACCATACAGAAATACATTCTACTTTTTAAGGTCATTTTTTAATTGATCAACAATCAGTTATGGCAGCCAATATTTATTGTGCTTCTCTGATTTTCCATGAGGATTGCAGCCAGAAGCTCAAAACTGTTGTGTGTCTAAAAACTACATATATACCATATATTGCCAAAAGTATTGGGACACCCCTCCAAATCATTGGATTCAGGTGTTCCAATCACCTCCATGGCCACAGGTGTATAAAATCAAGCACCTAGGCATGCAGACTGCTTCTACAAACATTTGTGAAAGAATGGGTTGTTCTCAGGAGCTCAGTGAA